TTCGTCAACGAAAATTATGACTAAATATCGTTGTCAACGAACCTTTATCACGTGACGAAAACGAGACGAGACGCAACGTAAATGCTGGTCATGTGACGATGACTATAATTAAATGTATAATGCAATATTGTTGACGAATAAAAACGAGACTAAATGTGGTTTACAAAATAAAAACTATGCTAAAATGTCTCTTCATTTTCATTGACCAAAACGAGACGAAACGAAATGTTATAACGTTATTTCATCTCGTTTAGTCGCGTTATTATTATTATTATTTTGCAGTATTTCTCACTTCAGGGGCTGCATCAGGTTGCACTGCGCAGATGCAGGCAACGTCACTTCCTCAAGCCCCAAGTCCTTGATTTTTAAAGGAGTTTGTGAATGTGATACTGATTTAATACAATACAATTCAATAAACAAGAAGTTAATATTAAGTGACTTACATTGTCTGACTATAACACTATTGTCTGATTTTGCTCTATTTCGTCGTCGAAAATAGTTTAAAACAAAGACACAGCAGAGCCGCAGCGCATCTCCATTCAAACACAGCGGTGTTTCGAATTAACGTTTTTTTTTAAATGAATCTAGTGAGTCAGTGATTCATTATTACCCATTCATAAATACAGTCACTTCATTAATTCTTGAATGAATCAGCCGTTCGAATGAATCAATTGAATGAATGATTCAGTAATAAAAATCAGTGACTTACTGCCACCTGTTGGCAGTTTGTTTCATTTTTAAAGTATCTTTTCAGTTATTTAAATAATTGTAAGCGTAGAGCCCTGTACTATATTGACTGGGTTAAATAGAATTACATTACTAAAAAGAGACTAAAATACAATTTTCATTTTCTAAAATTAGACTAAATGTCATCAGTTTTCGTCGACTAAAACTAGACTAAAATGTCATCAGTTTTCGTCGACTAAAACTAGACGAAAATAGTCGTGGATAATTCTGACTAAAATAAGACTAAAATGCTCGGACTTTTTTAGTTGACTAAAACTTGACTAGACTAAAAAGAGTATGAACGTGACTAAAACTAATAAAAACTAAAATGACAGCTTCACACAAAGACTAGACTAAAACTAAAATTAAAACAGGCCGCCAAAAACAACACTACTCCTCAGTCAAGCTCGCCGGCCGTTCCGAAGTCAGGCCTGCCGGCGGTTCCATTGTCAAAACCGCCGGTCGATTCCCTCCCAAGCCCTCAGCTAAAAGCTGTCTCTCTCACCTCTGCTCTAAAAAGGAGAATTCGGAGGAAGAGACTGTGGGCTCCAGCCCCTGAGTCCGCTCCAGTGTCGGCTCCAGCCCCGGAGTCAAACCCAGAAAGAAACCCTGTTCCCACGTCAAGCCCAGAGAGGGCTCCTGTTCCCACATCTAGCCCAGAGAAGGCTCCTGTTCTTACGTTAAGCCCAGAGAGCACCGCTGTTCCCACGTCTGGCCCAAGGAGGGCCACAGTTCCGGAGTCAAGCCCAGGGAGGGCCTTCCCTGAGCTGCCTGCTCCGCCAATGCCCCCCTGAGCTGCCTGCTCCGCCATGGCCCCCTGAGCTGCCTGCTCCGCCATAGCTCCCTGAACTGTCTGCTCCGCCATGGCTCCCTAGTCTGTCTGCTCCGCCATGGGGCCTGGACCGGGTAGGCTCCTGTTTCCCTGTCCATCCCAGAGAGGGCTCCAGTTCCTAAGATTAGCCCAGAGAGGGCTCCCGTTCCTGAGTTTAGCCCAGAGAGGGCTCCTGTTTCAATGTCCAGCCCAGAGAGGGCTCCAGTTCCCACGTCCAGCCTAAGGAGGGCTCCAGTTCCTATGTCCAGCCCAAGGAGAGCTCCAGTTCCCATGTCCAGCCCAAGGAGGGCTCCAGTTGACGCGCCTTCCGGGAGGGGAGAGTAATGTCAGTCCTGTGTTCCTGTGTCTTATGTTTCTCTCCCCATGTGCCTTCCATTACCCAGTTTCTCCCATGTTAATTATGTTTATTGATTCCAGGTGTGTCTCGTTTAGTTCCTGTACTTAAGCCCTGTGTTTCCTGAGTCCTGCGTTCAGTCTTAAATGTCTACCTCGTGTGCTACGTGTGTGTTCCTTGAGAAATAAAGTGTATTATGTTTCTGGATTCCCTCCGTCTCCGCGCTCCTTCGTCTCCTCGCTTCGACATAGTAGGCACACCGTGACAGACTCAGGTCACTTTTGGCTGGTTCCCATTCTGGTTCACTTTAAGTGAACTGGGTTTGAATATATGTGAAAACACCCATATAATCATTTTCAGCACTTTAGGCAAACAATTAAGAGTGAATCTGTACATTTTTGTAAAATAAAAATATTAATTGCAAATAGTTCAAATATATTTACATTAAAATTACAATGCTATTATTTATGGCTTTCTTAACCCTTTGGCACGCGAGTTTAAAATATTCTAGCTGAGCCCCCAGCGTGAGTTTTTTTAGGCGACCGTTATTTTAGAATGTATTGCCTTATTGATTCCATGGCGACGCATCATGCTTGTTATGTGACACAACCAGCCACAATAGATCTGTACGACACATGGATTGTTTTATTTAGTTTTTCCTGTTTTATTCAAAATTTTCACAAACATGCTCACTATATTATAAAATATCTGATATTCCGATTCTGAAATATGTGCAAGTAAATCTATTTGGTAGTTTAAACACTTTTATGTCGACCGTGTTATTTGATCTATACCGGGTGATGGGCGCCGCCATGTAAGTTTGCGCTGAATCCGAGCTGTGGGATTTACAACACACAAATTCATCCTCTCCTCCCGAAACACGTTAAAGTAGGTCTCCGGTAAACTGGGAGAAGAGCAGAGTAAACTTTATAGTTACCTACACAATCTGTATATGATATAAATAAAAACATGTCGTCAGATTATATTTGTAAGGATCATTATTGCTGTTTTCTTAGACATCAGCGTGTATTTTACAAACTGTAAATGTATGGTTTTGCTAGTACTTATGTGTATTTAAATGTCTGAAACCTAAAATAAGCATTATATGAATCATAGAAATGTATGATTATATACATATACATATACAATATACATAATAACCTTCACAATCTGATGATCACACTAACCAATAGGGCTGGGTATCGAGTTCGATACTTTTTAGGCACCGACCGAATTGCCTCGATACCATCGAGTATCGAAAAACGTCTCGTCGTTCAGTACCAAATTTCGATACCTAAGGGGTTAATCTCATCAGCGTCAGTGAGCCAATAAGCCTGCAGCACTTGCCGGTGTGTTCGACTAGAAGCACAGCGCAGATCGATCATCCGCGAGAGCGATTCGAAAGCGCACGGAGCAGTCTGCTCTCTTTAGCTCTCCGTTTATGTTCTAAAATGAAAACTATCCTCATCGTACTGGCGTTTCCACTGCGTTTCAAGTCGGTCACAGACCGGTCATTAATTTCCAATGGAGAGTAGCGCGAGAGCTGCGTGGAGTTCCGATCATATGCAGATGTCCGTTCATACTAACGTTACACGACCGAAAGCGCGTGTTATGTGACCATTCATGCAAACTGTAGCATCATGCTACATAAGACAATAAATAAGATTTGTATTCCGCTTTTACTCAAAACTCACTTTAAACCACCATCGAGTGTTTGTAATAACTTCCGATT